ACCAGTATCAGCAGCCAGGAGCCATTGCCCTTCCTGCTGTGGCATCTCTTTGTCAGCGCCCTGGGGGAGATCAAGCAGAGACGAGGTCTCAGAGCCAGCCTGCATCCCCAAACCCGCAGGGAGGCTGGGGCTGATGACTGATGCTAATCCTCTGCCACCTAAATTCCCCTTCTGCCAGCGAAGATTTCTCTCAATAGCTTGTGAGTGCTGGAAGAAGGCAGGTGCTGACTGAAGTTAATCTGGCACATCCTGTTTGCGCTGCTCACCCTGCCCACCTGCCCCTGCCTAACCCCTTCGGCACAGCGCCGGCTTGCCGGGGCACAGGAGCACCCGCAGGTGATGCTCTCCTGATGGAAGAGACCACCCCATACATGAGGCTTGTGCCAATGCCAGTGCAGGGATGGAGCACTTTGGCCGGTGGCATGGCTGGAGTCTCCTTACCATGGAGTGGGGAAGGGGCAAAGCTCACTATCTCCTACTGCTGAGAGGAGCAGAGGGACCCACTGAGGTCCTGGGCTCACAGCCCTGTGTCTTGTCCCCGCGTAGATATTTGTCCCTGTGGAAGGGCTGTGCAGCCCTCTCCACTGAGGTGCCAGGACAGGCTGGAGCTCGAGCGAGGGAGAGGGTGGAGGGATGGAGATCCTGCTCCAGGATTTGTTCACCCCTGTGGGGAAATATTTTTCCTATTATAAATGGGAATTTCCCTGAGTGCAACTGGTGGCGTTGACTCTCATCCTGTCCCTGGCCCCCCCCAAGAAGAGCCTGGCTCTGTCATCTCTCCAAACCCCTACAAGGCAGCTGCTGACAGCAGTGAGACCCCCTTCACCATTCCTTACCTGGGCTGCACAACCCCACTGCTCTCAGCATCCCACCTGGTACCTGTCAGGGCTGAAGCAGGCTGGTTAAGGGACAACACTGCAGGTGGCACTGGCATGGTGGTGAGTCACCATCCCAAGGACAAACAGCCCCTGTCCCTGCGCTCCTGCAAAGGTTTGCAGCAGGAGCGCTGGTCTTCACTCCCTGCAGTGCCCATGCAGCCGGTGAGCTGCTGGCACCCCGTGCCATGCATACATCCTCTGTGGGGGATTTCTGCTCTTGTGCAGAGAAAACCTGTTTCCAGGAATCTCTGTAGCTGCCTTTGGCCGTGAGACCATGTGGTGGTTTAGCCCGGCACACAGCTGAACACCATGCAGCCTCTCACTCACTCCCCCCAGTGGGATGGCAGAAAGAATTGGAAAAAAGGTAAAACTCATGGGCTGAGATAAAGACAATTTAATAGGACAGAAAACAAAGGGAGAATAATAGTAATGACAAAAGAATAAACAAAACAAGCAATGCACAATGCAATTGCTCACTGCCCACTGACCGATGCCCAGCCAGTTCCTGAGCAGTGGCTGCACCACCCCTGGCCATCTCCCCCCATTTTTTTGTTCAGTGTGATGTCATACGGTATGCAATACCATTTTGGACAGTTTGGGTCAACTGTCCTGGCTGTGCCCCATCCCAGCTTCTTGTGTGCACCCCCAGCACCCTCGCTGGCAGGGCAGTATAAAAAGCTGAAAAGTCCTTGACTTAGTGTAAACACTGCTCAGCAGCAACTAAAATATCAGTGTTTTATCAACATTACTCTCATCCTAAATCCAAAACACAGCACTATGCCAGCTACTAGGAAGAAAATTAACTCTATCCCAGCCGAAACCAGGACAGCCTATTTGCTGGGACATCTGGAAACCAGGTTGTCTTTTGGCATGTGAGATCGCGGCCCTGAACTGGAGCATGCTGGCTGGGCTCTCCTCTATCCACCAGCTTTGGATGTGCCCCCCTCCCCAGGCAATGAGGATGGCAGGAGAAGCCAGCCGGGCTCCTGTGACCAGATGGGGGGGCTCAGGGGAGCCAGGCATCACCCCAGTAATGGTATATACCCCAAAAATGGGATTGAGGCAAGTTCTCCCCCCACATCAGTGGGTTGAGCCTATGCGATACCTAATGGCAACGTCCCAGAGATGTCTTGGAAGGAGGACTGGGAAATGTATGGGGTGAGACCTACCATGTGCTTGCCCAGGGCCCTGGGGTGCTTTTGCAGGGTGAAGGGACCCTGGAGCTGCTCTGGCCCTGACCAGCAACCCCTGTGGCCTGGGTGCTGGCAGCGGAGAGGGCAGGAGGGTGTTTGGCTCGGGGACTGCAGAGCAGCTGGCTGCAGGGAAAGCAGCCGGGATATTCGGGAACTGCTCAAAGATTAAAATCCAGCCTGTGGCAAGACTTGTTACAACTTCCCACTCCTCTTCTCCAAAAGAAAGTGAAAGCCACGGGCTGGAAGGATAAATAGGCAGCAGGGAGCACAAGCAGCAGAGCGCAGGGAAGCTGTGCAGATCTCACCTCTCCTGCCCGGAGCACCGTCGCCTCCAGCCCATCCTCTGCCAGAGTCAGCAGCAAAATGCAGCAGCTGCATCTTCTCTGCCTCAGTTTCCTGGTACTGGGACGTATCCTGGATGGTAAGAGGGAACCTCTCAGGCTGCCTTTCTTGTGGAAGGGAGGGGATCCAGTTTCTTGCTCTTTTGCATTTCCAGCAGACTTTTAGAGGGACCCATGGCAGGGGCTCTGCTGCAGCCCTCTTGCGTCTTCTGCTTGCAACCTGTCCCAGAGGGACTCTGTCCTGCCCAAAGTCCAGGCAGGAGCCTGCAGGGCGCTGGGGCTGGAAAGCTGCTCTTGGGAAAGACCATGGAGCAATCCTGCCTCCCAGTGCCCTAGCCCAGCTTGTGCACACTGGGCTGGGATCACCTTGGTCCCATTCTCCCCAGCACACCAGGGGAGCATCTCTGGCACCCTTTGGTGTGGGGCAGCCCTGGGGGCAAGTGGCAGGGCTGGGAGTGGGAGGGAAGGCATGTGTTAGGGCAGAGCCCATGTTTGAGGGGCTGCTGGTGTTGAACACGGGGTTTGCACAGGTCACAGCTGTCTGGGTGGGTGACACCAGGCCCTCTGCTCTGCTGCGGGGAGCTGGGGAGTCCAGACACCTTGTGGTGTTGCACCTCACCTTGCTGCCTGGGGTTACAGGAGCCCCTGGGCAATGCCAGCCTTGGCGGGCATTAACAGCGAGTACAGCATTTGCTTGGAGGGTGACCAAGCTCCCCTACCCCGCAGTGAAGTGCAGAGAGCTGTGTCCCTCAGCTGTCACAGGACTGATCAGTGCGGGGCAGCTGGTGATAGGGTGGCTGCAAAACCTACGGCTGGTTCAGCAAATACAGCTGAAGCCATTCCGAGCCCTTTGGGAATGGGCATCTTCAGCGTCGCAGCATCCTGAAGTGGGGTGAAGACCCCCATCCTGCCCCACTTGCCCCGGGAGTGTGGGAGGGACCCAGGCACGCACAAGGGCCGCCCTCTGCCAATCTGCTGTTTCTCACCTCCTTTGCTTTCTGTCAGAAGGAGGCAAAGGGCTCCCGGTGCCGGGGCACGGGAGCAATAAGGCTCCTGCCTGCGTGTGTAGCCGGGGCAGTGTGCGAGGGCATCGCTGGCGGGCACCATCCTGCCCCGCTCCGCCAGGGCAGCCCCGCAGCTCCCGCACCCTCTGGGGAGGCTGGATGAAAACACAGCCGACCTGCGGAGAGCAGCCTCAGCCTGCATGGTGTGTTCTTCCTCCAGTGCACGGTGGGAACAATGTCCTTGACTGCTGCCTGCGGACGAGTGATATACCCATCCCGCGGCGGATAGTGCGGGATTATCAACTCCAGCTGGTGCAGGATGGCTGCAACATCCCGGCTGCCGTGTAAGAGCCCCAGGGTGGTGATGGCTGAGGGACAAGAGCCCCAGGGTGGTGGTGGCCAAGGGATGGACCCTGTGGGAAGGCAGGGAGGGAGGCAGATCAGGGTGGAGGAGGGATGTTGAGCTGGGTTTGGGGGGCGAGGGAATAGGGAGGGTTGTGGAAGCGACCGTGGAGATCAGAGGCTCAATCAGAGCAGGACAGACTTGCCAGGAGGGGAAAGCTTGGGAAAAAAGACAGGGAAGAAAGTCATTCCAAGGTAGAGATGGAGGAGGGCAGTGAGGAAGGTAGTGGGTGAGAGCTTGGGGTGCTCTGGAGCATCCCTGGGGTGTCCTGCTCACCTCATCTTGTTTTTTTCCTGTGGGCCTGGCAGGTTCATCACCACAAAGGGCAAGCGCCTCTGTGCCCCACTCCAAGCCCCGTGGGTGGTTCGCCTCCAAGAGAAGCTGGACGCCGGCTCTGCCAGGAAGGTAAGAGATGTCCCTGTGCTTAGCTAGGAACAAGGGCAGCTGGGGGGTGGGTTTATCCACCACCAAACAGGCTTTTCCCAGTGTGATTGGGCTGCGCTCTATGGATACTTCACGCTCATGGATACTTCATCTCAGTCTCCATCCCTCCTCCCTCCAGCTGGGACCAGTTTGGCTCCTCTGCAATCCCTCTTCCATCCCAAATCAATGCAGCCCTGGGGCTGTTGCTCAGCCAGTGCCACCCTGGGCTGAGCCCAATGGGTGCTACAGCAAATGGCACCAGGAGCAAACCCTCCCCACTCCTGCCCTGCAAGCTTGGAGTTTGCAACTTGTGCATCTTCAAAGGGAGGGCTTGTGTTGACTTTGGTGGGTGCTTTGCAAGCCCTGCCAGGTCCCCGCTTTACCATCATGGCTTGGCCAGGGGAGGTCACCCCTTAGTGACCACCCTGACCATGGGGAGGCTCTGCCCTGAGGATCACGCTCATCACAGTTGTGTTTTTTCACTTCTTCAGGCCAAACCTGAGGGCAAGTAGTCTCCGAAGAAGCCTGTGGCCGGTCCCAGCGCCTTGAATGGGGCCGGCTCCCAGCTGTGAATCTGAAGCTAATGGAGCCAACCTGCTTCCACCTCCAGCCACAAGGCCAGCCCTCCTCGGGACTCGCATCAGTATGTGGGGCTGGGCAGAGCCCTGCCTGCTCTCTCTTCTTCTCTCTGTCTCTGGTGTGACCCAGCAACCTGCGTCAGGCTGAGCTGGGGGCTGCTGGACCAGAGCCTCTGCCACCTTCACAGCCTGGAAGCTGTTTGATGGACTGTTCCGTGAGATGAGTTTGGGGGGGTCTCAGCCTACCCTTTGGTGCAGTGGCTGTGACCTCCACCACCAGTCTGATCCCTTGGGTTTCCATCGTCAGCCCCAAACCTTCTGCAGTCCTTCCGCATCCCTGGGAAGGGCTGCCAGGACGGGATAGTGTGGGAATGGAGGGGAGGGATGGAGAAGTTCCTCACTGGCCATGCACTGTGCTGCTCCTTCGCTGAGCACAACCTAGATGCTGTCAGACAGAGCGTGGCTGATGCGGTTCCTCTCTCACGCCCTGACTTCCCTGCACCGTTTCCCTCCCCTCCTGCCCTTCCTTGCACAGGTAGAAATAGAGCCAGTAATGCAGCGGCGGCAGAGCGGGCAGCGATGTTGCCCTTGGCCCTTGCACTGCTCAGGGACATTGCCCCCCTTCTTGGTCCCTCAGCCTGCCACCGTGTTCAAAGCCTGCCCCGTGCTCCTGCCTGGGCAGGGATGCATGAGCAGTGTTCGTGCTGCTCTCAGGTATTGCTGCTAGATCTGTTCGATGCAACAATTACGGGTGTAAGTTGCTTCTTTTCTCTCTTTTTTATTGTGCTGTGATTTTATTAAATAAAAAGAAAAGCCAGCGGGTGGTTGTCCTGCCTCATGTTTGAGCCCAAAAGCCAGCGTGGAGTGTGGGGCATGCAGCCAACGCTGCCTGCGATGCTGCAGTAGCAAGGGTGGGGTGCATGGGGGGGAAGGGGCTTTCACAGGGGTGAAGAACGCTTTCTACAGCAGCTGGGCTGCAGATCTCTCCTGGGAACTCTCAGCACTGTGGTGGGGTGGGCGCCCTGCTCCGCACGGCTGGGCCAGGCTGCCAGAGCAGGTCCCCAGGGGGTTGTATTGCAGAGATGGGGTGGGAGGGAGCATGCCGGTATTGCACCATCCAGCCCAAAACACTTCAGTCCCACTGGTGAAGCTGCCAGGCTGGAGTTCCCTGGTTTTCAGCTCCCATGGGAGTGTGGGACATGGATGAAGAGCTGCAGGAACAGGAGTTCTGTCCTTGTAGTGAAGGGAAACTGAGGCACAGCGTGGATGATTGGGTCTGCTGATTGCCCTGGCAGTTTGGTGCTTGCTAGCAGCTGGGTTGCCAGGGAAGATAAAGAGCTTTTGGGGAAATGGAGGCAGGTGAAGACACCTGCTCCTGGGCATGTCCATGGACAAGACATGGAGTGCAGCCCACCAGCTCCTGCCCCTCATCGCCAATGAACTGGAAGTACCTGGCCATTTTCCTCCTGAACCTTGGGTCTCCTGGGTCTGTGCACGGGGTCTGTGGTCTTGCTGCCCCAAAGTGGCCTTATGTCCCCTTGGGAACTGCCCTTTCGCCCATGCCATGTGATGTTTGAACAAAGCTGCTCTGTTTGGGTGAAGCATGGGACAAACATGCATGAATGGGGTTTGCATGGCCAACAGCCAGGCATTGTGCTCTCCCCTCAAAGACCACAGTGTCAAACATGACTATCCACATCATTAAATTATTTACACTGTCCCTGGCCAGGCTTTGGTGCCAGCCAGCAAGCCTGGGCACAGGCTGGGAATGAGATGGCCCAGGAGCTGTTCCTGAAGGCAAGAGGGATGTGGCCACCAGCCCCTCTGGGGGGATGGCATCCATGGTGGTGCAGCAGCTGGGCTGTCCAAGCCAGGGGATGTCCAGACACCTGATGGCTTTTGCTGAGACTTGTTGAATGCAAGCTTAGCCCTGGCCCTTTTCCTCCCCTTGGCCGGTGTCCTGGGTTTCTTTTTCAGGTGTTCCCCCCCTTCAAGGTCCTCCTCCCTGGTATCTGTGCACACGCAATGCCCTGGTCTCGGCTGTCTCTTCGCATGACTTTCCCAGCGCGCCAGCTCTGTCCCAGCTCATTAACTATAGTGACAGCCCGAGCAATACAATCCTGAGGAGGAGGAGGCAGAGGAGGAAGGCTGGTATGGGAAAAGAGGCCAAGACAAACAGTGTAAGTGGGAAAGGAGGATAACTGGAGCTTGCTTGGGCAGAAGCCTTCCTGCCACTCACTTGGTGACCCGTGAGGGGCTGTGGATGGGGAGGAGGAGGAGGATGCTTGGCTTGAATCTGCACCAGGGCTGAGCTGCTGCAGCTGGTGCGGGTCACTGCGCAGGACAGGGGCTGCAGGAGGGGCTTAGCCTGAGATGCATCAGGTTCGTCCTTGGCCGGAGGCTACCCTGACAAAGACCACAGTGTCCTGGCCCAGTTCCTTGGAAAACTGAGGGAGAAGGGTCTTACACTGATCTCTTGGATGCTGGAGGCAGGTTTATCTATTTCCATCGGGGTGTGAGGGACTGTTTGGGCAAGCTGCCTGTAAAAGCATGGTTGCAAAGCCCGTGGCTCCCACCTCTTCTGGGAAGACTAAATGCGCCCTCCTCGGAGCAATTCAGCCATTCATCACAGATCCCTGCCAGGTCCTTGTCTTTCATAGCTCTCGAGGGGGTGGTGAGCCAGGCCCCAGCTCTGGCAGCAGGCTGCCCTTACCCCCCAGTGAAGGACTGGAGGAGATGCTGTCCCTGGCCAGGTATGTGGTCCTGGCTGGCTGTCCCTCCTCCAGCCCTGCAGCAGCTGTCCCTACTCCAGAGCCTGACTCTTGGAAATCTGTCAAAAACGAGCAGGGCTCTGTCCTTTGTAAACTACGGAGTGAGTTTTTCTGATACAAAATGTCAACAATCTCTTTAAAGGGAAGCAACCACTTTCTTTAGAGAAAGCAGCTAGTCACTGCCACATCAAAAACCTCAAGTCCCAGCCAAGAGCTAGTTTCAGTAAAAAATATTCCAAGTCCTCCTGTTTCTCTCTGCCCAAGTGTGCTCTTCCTGCTCTTTGCCTACCCTCACCACATCCTCAGGGGTTGGTGGGGCAGGATCAGGATCCATTGCAGACATGCCCTCAGTAGGTCTGGGGCTATGTGCAAGGATCACTTTGGTGTGAGGTGTTCTGGAGCATCAGCTGAATCACCTGCAGTCCTTTATCCACTCCTGGGACGTGTATTTCACGTATATGGAATAATAAGACATTATAACTGAAAAGCTTTCCTAAGGAGCTGACAAAACTGCTGCTTTCTTGATGACTCTGCACAAGGCCAGGAAAGAAAGACAAGGCTGCATCTATGCAAGCAAATTGAGCATGCTTTGGGTTGTTCTCTGGCTGCCAGGTCTCATAGCCAGGATCATGAGAGCACTCCTGTCTCTCCCAGGCATGGTGAAAGCTGTCTCGGATGCTTCCCAGGCTGCATTCAAGGGGCACAAGACAGAGCAGGCACAATCTGCTGCAGTCTCAGGGTCTGACCTGCCATGGGCATTCCCAGCCAGGAAGGAGGTAGGATTGCAGGTCCATAGCAAAAGCGCCCCTCTGTTTCTCTGCAGCAAGAGCGGGCACCAAAGCAAAATGCTATGCTGGTCTCCCTTGGTGCCATAATACCCCTTCCATGGGCTTTACTGGAACTGGTTTTGTCCCTTGCCTCCAAAGAGATGGTGTACGGGAGCTTTTTCCATCAGCAGCGTCCCCCATGTGTTGTGTTGCTCCTGGAGGGACCAGGGAGGAGCTGGCTGCACCCTCCCTGCATGCACCCGCAGGCACGGTGAGCAGCACCGCGAGGGCTAAAAGCTGTTCCCCCCTGCCGCAGCCCAAACATAGCCTCTTCACGTCGCTCCCTGGTGCAGAGGAGTCCACGGGAGCTGTGGACATGCCCTGGGCATGTTTGCCAGTGCAAGGGCCAGTTGTCCCCTGTGCTGGTGGTCTTGGTGCCAAGGCAAGGGGCTGATCTCCATGGCCACAGCTCCCTTGGCACCAGCACTGGACTTGGCTGCCAGGGCCTCAGGGATCTGCACCGGTTTTTGTGAGGAGATGGGACACGTGGATGGTTGGGAAGGGTGAGAAGCCAGGTGCGGAAAAGCCCCTTTAATCTCATCCCATCACGCTGTTTGCTCTTGCCTAAATAGTAACATGTGTGGGTGATGGAGAGGATCCAGGTCTGGCATCTCTCCTCCCCAGGCCCCTGCTTGCTCCCCTTTCTTTCCCAGCATGTCATCACCAGTGCTACTTGTCTGGACACTTTCTGCTGAGATTTGTCCTGTGGGAAGATGCCAGCACCCTTGGCCAGGCTGTGGGGCTCTGAGCAGGAGCTGGTGCCATCCCTGCTGCCCTTCTCCTGCAGCCGGACTCTCCCTGGTGGT